GGAATGTGGTAAGGGGATTGAAAACACCTTCTGGTGCTTGTCAGGGAGGTACTTACCCACAATGCTATCTCCCTGGCTCTTGAATATCTTCTAACAAAGCAAGTTTTCTTGATCCTGTTTTTGTGTTGTAGTCTGTAGATCAGCTCTTTGTGCTCTGCTTTTTTACTATTTTCCTTGATTTATTGTGGGTCCAATTCACTCTCTTTGTTTCTTTGACATGTTTGATTTGATGGTTTGAGAACTTTTTCATCACAGAGAAATCCATCTACTTAAACTTTGGTCTTAGAGCTGGTTACTACCAGCCATTAGTTCTAGATTTTGATTTCCCTTTTGTTTTGTTCCCAAGTACTTTATGTTCCCATAATTTCTTACTTGATTCAGGAGTTATTCTAGGAGGGTGTGGTTTAACTTCCATGTATTTGTGACTTTATCAATTTTTCTCCCATCTGTTGGCTTCTAGCCTTGTTTTCTGGCCCAAGACCAGATAGATGATAGTTTTTTACTTCTTTAAATTTCTTAAGATTTGTTTATTGTTCAACGTGAAATCTGCACCAAGCAGTATCCAGTGTGTAGTAGAGAAGAGTTGCTGATTTCTGCTTTTATTTGTAATGGTCTATAAGGGGCTTTTAGGTCCATTTGAACTTTAGTATTCTTCAAGTTGACTGATTCCTCACTGCTTGTCTGTGGATGGTCAATCTATCATTGAAAATGTAGCATTGAAATTTTCTACTCTTCTTTGATTGCTGTTTCTCCCTTGATATATCTCTATATTTGCTTTATATCTATTTAGGTGTGCAATGTTGGCCACATACCCACACATGTTTGCAGTTTTTACATTTACATTCTCTTGATGAATTTGCCCTTGTGTCATATGTAATGAGTCTCCTTGTTTCATTTGTCACAATTTCTGTCTTAAAATCTATTTTGTTGGATGCAGAAATATTTGTTCTTGTTCTCTTTTTTGGGTCGATCCCTTCATTTTCAGTCTGTATGTTTCTTCAAAGGTGAAGTGAGGTTTTGTAGGCAGCATATTCAGGGATTGTCCTTTATCCACTAAGCAAGTGTGTCCTTGGAGTGATGGATTCCATGAACATTGAAACTAATTTGTTTTGTTGTTATTTGAAACAGAGTCTCGCTATGCAATTCAG